GTTGGGCTTGTCCCCGTTGTAGGCCGGAACAGAACATGCATGTTTTTCAATGGGAGCCTCCCATTCACCCTGAACATATGTACAGACCGCGACGAAATCATCATCGTCATCCCCCTTGCCTTCAGGGGTGCTCTCCCACCAGCTGAAGAAGCACGTTATCGATGGCAACCGCACCATCATTTGCGCAGAAACTCCGGAAGAGAAGGTGCCTGCGAATGGGAGTGTTGCAAGCCCCGATTCCGAAGGTATGCATTGGTAAGGTTCGTAAGGTGAGTGTTTACTCTGTGTGTGTGTGTGTCTGTCCAGCTTCTTTTGTGCAAAGGGGCTCTGTCTTTCGACTGGCCCATGTACTCTCTATGTCCAGCAATACCCTGACAGGTTGGGAAGCCAAGTGCTGCTAACATGTTGCCGTCCTTGCGAAAAGTCGTCCCCCCCTCACCTCGCCGAGGAGAGTGTGTGAGGTCATTCAGGAGTCCAGCGCCCAAACTGTGTATCTAGCTTCCGACCTGCAGCATGAAGAGGGACAACTACGAGCATACACCACGTGCGTTGACCTGCGGGTGCGAGTTTGCATATTCCCGGTAACAACTTGCCGTGTGTCCTTGCAGGTTGAGGAGTTTGAGTTCGAATTGAACGAGGTATACAGCATCGATGTCGTCATGTCCACCGGCGAAGGCTCAGCTGCGAAAGTCTTTGGAGAGGTCGCGTTGGGTTCGATCAGGGCTGTCGGAACATGCGTTCCCACCAAGGGCATGTCTCCGGTGGATGTTCATTGCAGAGCAGCTACCAAAGCACGATAGAGCTTTGACAGCAAAGCCTGCAGTCCACCGGCGAGCAGTAAGCTTTTTTCGAGGATGCAGAGACTTGCAAAAGAGCGCCAGACTTTGGCAGCTCCAGAGGTCTAGCGTTCTCTGCATTTTGATAGGGAAAGCTCTGGAAGCTTGCCAGGTAAAGGAAAAGAGACTGAGCTCAGAAATACCGTCTACAAGCGAGCGGCCGCCGGCCAAGACTGGATAATCGCTCTGCAAAGCTTGTTTTCTTACTTCCCGCTTCTGCTCCTAGCGAGGTTGAAAATATGTATAGCCTCAAGACGCAGAAGGCGAGGCAGTTCATCTCGGAGGCGGGACTGCCGACATGGCCAAAGCATGGACGTGATTGTGAAAGCTTGCTAGGACAGTGTTATCGATGTGAATGCCCACCATCCTCGCTAATAAGTCGACGAAGCTACAGATGTCATCCAACCTTCCGTGTTGCGGCACCAGCCGCATGTTCGACAGGGTGTCCTGTTCATGTGCGTGATGTGCCTTCTCAGCTTAATCTAAAACAAAGATTTTAAAGAGCTGGGGGCTGTGCCACAGTGTGGTCGCGGTTTACAATTGTAGCTGCAGGTCGTTGCTGTGAGAGTCTCCATCACAACATGTTGGTCGATGCAAGAGCCGTCAGGTGAATCGACGATTTCCTGCTTTGCCGTTCACCTTGCGGGCCATTGAAGACGAACAGGTGGCTGCAATCACCTCGTAAACAGTCAGACGCTTGGGAACGTCGCTGAGATGTTGTTGCTGTCAGGTGGCCCGAGTGGGCGTCTCTGAGGCGAAGCGGCACGAGCTTCTCGACGAGCCGCGGCCTTTGTAGGGTAGCCACAAAACAGAAGAACGACGGGTGCACAGGTGCCTTTGGGCCGTGGCCCGTAGCGTCGCTCCTTGGAGCCCTTCACGGTGTCGATTCGTTTCCAAAACACCAACTGATGAGCCGGGCACCATGTTGACCCACATCCTGCACACAGTGGCAGGGGAAACGAGGGACGTTCCCGCAACTACGAAGTGCCTGCCATAATCCAGCCACAAATCCAGGACTAAAGTCTCAGCGCCAGCAAGCTCAATCGACACAGGGGCATGGAGTTTCAGAACCCATCCGACCATTCATCACCCTTGTCGCACATCCAGCGATAATATCGCATGATCTTTGCTTGCATTTCAAGAGGTGCATGTTGACATCCGATCATAGGAGCCTATTTCACAGACTGTCCGAGCCAGCGAACCATTGTGAGCAGGAAAGTCTATCATCCAACCTACCGGAGACTTTGATTGTCCACGACAACTTGGCACATCTAGCAGCTGAGGTATCCCGTGCTGAAGGAAGCGCACAGTGCCGCCCACCTGCAGCTCAAAGACTGACCATAGTTGACCCAAGACCAAATAGGCAGGCGGGGCATAGATGTGGAGACAGGCAAGCTACCGCACTTGCAATTTCAGCTGGTCTCGTCAATAGCGCCACAGATTTTCGAATGCCCTAGACCCTGTTTGGAGGGCACAGGGATGCGCCGTGGCTGTGAATGTTACCTAGAATTGTGTGATAGCATGTCTCGGCTGCAGGTTGCTGCTGTGATAGGACTTTCTATTTCTGGTCCTGACTTGAACATGTCGAGCTCAGAAACAGCCCGAGAAAGCTGTCAAATCCACCAGAACCTGTCTAGACTCACCCCATAAGCTCTGCTGCCTGCCAAAAGACGCCTGAGGAATTTGTTGCGCAGTTTAAATTCACACTGTCGCGGGCTGAGTCTGGGTTCGTGTGACATCTTCAAAGGTTTGGGAAGCCAGCCAGGCTTGGGTGCCATTCTGGTCCAAGGGTTGCGGATGCAGAGATTGAGGGGTGCCCAAGCTTCGGATCGGGCTCTGGAGGTCAAACATCACCTGTTGAGTGATACTGTCTAAAAGCCATCATCATCAGGGTCATGTTCATCAAAATTATCCCCACTGTCATCATTTCCATCACCATCACGGTCATCAGCAGCGGCAGCCATCCTCGTTTTCACCACCAGCAGCATCTCCGCCATTGTGAGAGTCGTCCATATGTCGTCCGTGTGGGTACACGAGGCTCTTGCTGCCTGGCGGCACGAAAAAGATCACGGGCCTCGCGTTGGGCAAGCTCCAGGAGCAGGCGGGAGGACACCGCCTGGTGCGAGAGTCTCCCCTCCCCTTGCATCTGCCTGGACCCTCTCTTCGCTCTCGAGCTCACTTTGTCTCTCAGCTTCAATGCTTCTCACAAATGAGGCCGCATCAGAGCTCTCTGTCGTGGACGAGGACAGGTATGCCAATGGCATCGAGAGTGCACCAAAAGAAAGATGCACTTCTCACTTAGGCAGCACGTGTTTCTCGCAGTCGTCGGCAGTCGTAGTCGCGAAAGACGATCGACAGCCAGCGACTTACCCCAGGACATGAAGAAGCTGCTGGCGACCTCAGTCCACCACCCAGCATCTCCAGCCTTGTTCCGCTGGGCTTCTGCAAGTATTGAATGCATTGCTTGGAGCTTTGCCCGCATGCTCGGCTTCGCTTGGGAATAACCTGGAGATCTAGTCCAAGAGCAGATCAGGAGATCTATATAATTTTGTGTCGACAAGCCTGTGTGAATTTCATGTGCCCTCTCCCCGGCCGCAGCAATCAGCCCTTGGTTTGCAGGCCAATCCTAAGAAGGCCAAGAAGAAGAAGGCGGACAAGGGCGACGCCAAGGATGGCGAGGAAGCCTGAGAGCGGATGGAGCGGGGATCCCGAGAGCTTCGGCACACAACCCAACTGCAAACTTGGAATTCACCACATCTTCAAAGGCAAAAGGGTCCCAGGCTCGGTCTCCTCATCTCCGTAGGCAGCACCTCGGACCTAGAGACCATCTCTTGGAAAGCAGTGGGTGCAGTTTGGGTTGCAAGATCTCAGCCCGAAGCCTGCTTTGAACAAAACGTCCCACAGAGTTACACGGTCTAATGAAACACTCACACCTCAGCTTTACAGCAGTCCGAGCAACATGGAGCTCCAAATTTCCACGCAGACCCCGCACCCCAAAGCTTATTAGTAGCTGGAACCAAGAAGTCCAACCATCCCGAAAGCTGGGCTTCGGAGATGATTGCCATTGATTGCCCACTCTGCGGGACGAAGGCAGACCCGTGCCTGTCCCCGGCAGCACGTCAGACACAGGTGCGACGAAAGCGGCAGAGCCCCTCCAACGACTTAGAGGCCTTCCAGGCTTAGAATCCTACCGGAGGTAGTCGGGCGCCGTTTGGAGTTCGGCCCTGTGCAGTGCCGTTACACTGTTACACTATATAGGGATTCCTCTTGGCCTTGGGAAGTGCTTAGGCAGCCAAAAGTGCAGCCTCAAAGCCTCAGAGTCCGGCTCCGTGCGAAGCGCGGTGCGAAGCGCGGTGCGAAGCACGTGAACTTGTGGGAACTGCGGATCCAGGTCCGCAGGCAGGCGCAGCTAAGCCAGCGCAGAAGGCTTCGTCTGAGACTTCCATGTCGCACGAGCGTGTCCGCACGCCAAATAGCCGCCTGGAAAGACCTTTTGGAGGTCGCAGGTGCCGCAGTAAATTGTAGAATCGTAGCGAAAGGATGTACTTCCTTTCCAGACCGGCTATAGCCCCCAATGCTTTTAGACATCGAGCCCAGAACTCCGCTGACCTTGTAAACAACACGAAACACACACAACATCAGAACTTGAAGGTCGGAGAACTGAAGACTCAAGGCAACTGAGGTGTTCTGGAGCCGCGTAGATGTTAGGATGGCCTCTCTGGGCCTGACCATGCTGATTTTGAAGGGTTTGAAGCATGGACGCCGTTGTGTTGCTTTGGAGCCGGCCTGCAGCCAACCCGGATCTCGACGAAGAAAGCGTGGCATGTCGATGGATACTGAGTTGCGAGCTGGGTGTGCACTTGCGCGTATGCATGCCGAGCATGCCCAGGGGATAAGACAGCTCATGTTAGGTCGCCAGATCCACGTGCCTGAAATATTTTTTCCGGGCCACTTCTATGCCTTTCCTTCCACTCCGATTTTGGGCTGTAGTGCAAACCGATGATGAGATCAGCTTGGATCTAGAATTTAGATTCTCTCCGACCACACACCAGACAACGCCTCAGACCCAACCTGCACGTCAGATCTGCCCATAAGTTTCTTGCCCTCACAGCCCACCGCACGAGAAAGATGATTCATGCCCAACATCGCTGAGCGTCGGCGCGGATGGACAACAACGAGAAGCCTTCGCCTTAAGCACAGCGTGTTCGCAAACACGAACTTGATGCCATTTCAATCTTCGTTCGATGATTGCTGGACTCCCGAGAAGTGGAAGTTTCGGATGAAGATTTGGGCTTGAAACCTTGGAGCTGCGCTGTGCAGCTTCAGTGGCGCCAACTCCAGCTCTCTATCCAAAGCATTCTGGTCCATGCGCTAATCCTGTGGCACCAGCCTAGAACGGCGCAGGCTTTGAGAGCTGCTAGGCCGCTAAGCAACAGAGCTGCACTCCATAAAGTTCGCGAGCAAACCTATAGGCAAGATTATGAGCTCGTTTAAGACTTGAAGCTTTGAGGGATTGCGTTGGTCTTGTGTGGACCGCCACAGCCGGTCCCAACTGTCGAAGCTTAAACCCGATGCTGACTTTTCTTTGCATTTGCAACTGCCAGTTCAACCGTTTTGTTTCTTCATGTTACCGATTGTCAGGCTCGATCGGCTGTTGGAAGCTCTCGGCCCGGGTGCCGACCGCACGCTGGCGGAGGAGGTTCGGCTCTGGCCTTCTAAGCAACCGGCCAGAACAAGAAGGGGATAAGGAATATAGCTTGCAGACTTGCAGTGGCTGTGCCCGACTTTGCACCAAGGATTACGGAGGTATGGTTGTTCTCTTTGTGGTGGCGGTGTGCATGTATGCCTCTTGCATTTGGGTGCGAGAATAGGCTGAGTGGGCTGGAACGCAGAAACTCAAGGAGCGTAATCCCTGAAATGGGCGTTGGCATTGCTTTGGACAGGTTTTTTTGAAGGAGTGGTCCAGTTCAAACCGCGTTGTGCTTTTGCGGCTGCTGCTGCTGCTGCTGGTGCTGCTGCTGGTGGTAATGTCCTTGTTGACGATGTTTAGTGTTGTCAAGTTCTGTTGTGATCATTCCTCTTCGGTGTTGCTTTCCTTCCTGTTGGTCCCAAACAGTGTGGCCACACGCCCGCAAGACCAGGGACGCCGTATAGGCTGCAAAATTAGTGCCGTGGCGCTTCCGAGCGGTTGCGCTCTGGCCACACTCCTGTGTCAAGGATGCTGTTGCGTGGATTTCGTGCTCCCGCCGCAAATAGCTCGAAGCCGTTAACATCCTAGCACCCGAACCGTGAGGCTCCAGTGTCTTTCCAATAACACGGGGAACTTGGCGAACATCGAATTCGTACTTCCACCACGTGCCGGTGCATCGTGTCTGGCCGTCACAGTCCGCAGATTCCGTTTCCTTTTTCTTTGGGGGGGGTTGCGACTCACAATTCGTGTTCCTACCGCAGTCCTCCAAGTCATGCCGTGGTGCAGGTCATCTTCTCCCTCTCCGTCTCCCTCTCCCCCTCCCTCGCTCCCTCCCTCTCCCTCCCTCTCTCGCGCGCTCTCTCTCTCTCTCTCTCTCTCTCTCTCTCTCTCTCTCTCTCCGCCTCTCTTTCTCTTGCCCTCTCTACTCCACCTACCCATGGGGGTGGGGTGAGGTGGTACTTGGACCAGCCCGCCACATGCCTACGTGCCTACAGACACGACGTATCTACATTGACCTTGATGCGGAACTGGCAGGACATGCAAAGGTATCCCAAAGCCACCTCGGCAGGTCTTGCGGGCCAATGACTGGAATCTGAGCGAGGCGTGGGCTGCAGCGCCTTTTTCAACGAGTTTAGAGGTTTCAGGCTCTACAAAGCTTCTCTCTTCCGCGGACATATTTTTCAAGTCAGCTATGTGTGTTTTATTTATATTGCGTAGTCAGCGCAACGAAGGTTGGTTGGAAGTCCAAGAGCTGGGATTGGTCAAAAACTTCTTCCGAGAGATGAGGGAGTCGAAGCTTCGCAGCTAGTTCCTTGGTCAAGCGTGGGGCGAATCATAGGCAACTCCTTGCTGCAAGCGACCTCGAGTCGGATATGTGTGTGAGCAAGAGATGACTCCCAACTTTGAGACATCGGTTGCTGGTTGTCACGTTGCCTGCCGCAGGCACTAAACCTCCTGGTAGGCGAGGGAGCAGCGCCGCGCCACAGATGGGAGGGCCGGGGTGCGGGCGTTGATGGTTGAGGGCTCGCAATGACAATTGCTACATACTTATGGCGCCCCGGAACTTACGATAAACTTATAACAACTTAGGAAAACTTATCTTGTAAGTTTTTATAAGTGACTTATAAGTTATCCTAAGTTATTCTAAGTTTCAGAGGCCTTCCGGAACCATTTTTCTCTGTGCAGACGATTCTGGTCTCCGAGCAGGCATTTTTAGCCGGCAGGTCGCTTCCTAGTGCAAAGAAATGATTTGGCATCCCTCTTCGAGAGTCCAAGGCGGCCTTAAAGCCGAGCGCAAGTCAGCAAGCTTTAGTGTGCAGTCTCGGCCAGGTTTGCTCCAGTAGCTGCAGTCGTCTTTCCACTGCCACCACCGACGCCGGCCGCCGAGGCACGTGAGCGCCGCCCTCGCTGCAGCAAGGCCTGCCCCAATGCATGTTTGGGCGTGTCCTTCTGCCGCATGTGGTGCAAGCGGAAAGACAAACCTTGGAAGAGTTATCCGCACAGAGGCCACTATTGCAGGCCCTGCCACGATGCTGGCTACGGCGCCGAATCGGATTAGTGGAGCATATGCTCTCACTTAGCAAGCAGCTGCACGCAGCTGCTTCCGACAAGCACAGCTTCTTCGACTGAAAGCTTTCCGGTGCAAGCAGTCTCAGCTGCAGATTATATAGATCTTGGGCTTGGACGCCGCAGGATCACGTCGCAAAAAAGCTCTGCAGGCAGTTTCAGCACCAGCTCCACCTTAGAAACACCTTGCTTTCCCAGGGGCCCAGGGCAGTCTTAGGCAGCTAGACCACCTTACCACCTTAACTCAAAATCCTGGGCTTGAGGCCTTACAGCTCCCACCACCTTGCTCCGGAGCTATAGTAAAGCTAAACCACCTTGCCACCATAACCTTAAATCCAAGGGATCCCACCACCAGGACCACCTTAATCCCAAGGTGGTCTGGCTTTGAAGCCAGGCCTCCACCTTAATTCACCTTGCTTTCACCTTGCTTCTCCGCCGGGTGTTTTTGAAGCATTGCCGAATAGCACGCAGTCCCCCGGAAGTAGCTTTTTCTTTAAGAAGAGACTGCGGCTTCTGTTGCTTGGTTGCGGCTTCTTGTCGACTGCAAGTTGTAGCTCAGCTGTTTAGGCTCTCACGCTTTCTTTCGCACCCCCTCGCCTTCCTGGGTCGTGCCAAGCATGGCCGTTGTTGCTGCGGACGCTGCAGAGCCTGTGGTTGAGGACCTCTCCGCAGGAGAAGAAGCGGTGGAGCTTGGAGAAGCTCGCTGCCACCACTGCGGCCACTGCTTTAAAGTCTCCGAGCTGCACGGTCGCTGGCGCAAGAAGGTGTGCGTCGGCTGCCGCCGCACCGAGCACACACAGTGGCGACACGTGGGCGCCTGGCAGCCGTTGCAGACCTTGAGCGACGACGAGCGGCACACGTTCTTCAGTGCGAGTTCCGGGTCGAGCTGCTGGAAAACTTGCCGAAGAAACCTTTGAGCTGCTTCGAGTTGCTTGCACACGGCAGCCATGACGCCGCTTCTGTCTTGAGCCAAAAAAGCAGCTGTTTTCAGAGGTTGCAATCGAAAAACCAGCATTTGCGACAAAAAGCGTAACTCGTCCTAAGTTTTCCTAAATTATTTCACGATGCCATGATAAGTCAACCTAAGTTATTTATAAGTCACTTAAAGTTACTTAGAAATCCGAAATTTATAACAACTTACGGCAGACTTAAATCGATATAGGAAGACTTGTAGTCACTTAAAGTAACTTGAAATGATTTATAAACTCCTCCTAAGTTCCCGGGCGCCATAAGTAGTGATTGCCGCCCTGGGGGACCTTCGTCCGCTTGCCTGCACTCGCGCCGCCGAATTCCCAGGCGCCTGAGCCGCAGCGCGCGGCTGCGCGGCCACAGCACGCCCCGTTCCAGACTGCAGCGCCGGCAGCGCCAGTGGCACCTGTGCCTATACCTGCAGCAGCAGCACCAACTGGGACCTTTGCCACAGGCTTCTTCGGCGGAGGCCACGGAGACGCATCTGAAAAAATGGGACGTGATAAACAGAACGCACGGCTTCATTGCACAGCTCTCAAGTCCGTGCGCAAATGCAGGCTGTTGGTTTCGCAATCAGACTGTCCAAGGGTTAACTCTTGACTCCAAAAGCAAACTTCATCCATGGTCGGAGTTTCTACTGCTTGCAGCCGGCGCTCGAAGCTGGAGGGAGAATGACTGGTCACAAGTTGTCCTGTTTCTGTGTTCGCTGCAGGCCGTGCCGACGAAGACGTGCGCGCGCCGATGCGAACGGGTTTCCATGACTGGCGGGATGAGTTCATGCTAGCCGTGACTGTCCTGCTTGCCCATCGACAAGACTTCCTCTGGACGAACCGCAACATAACGACCATTTCTGTATTTTTCCGGAGTAGTTGGAGAATGTTCGTCAGGTCTTTGTGGTCTGCAAGATGTGGACACGAGTAGTTTTCTGTTGACCGAGTGCCATGCTCGGAGGAAACGCTCCTCACTGCTGACCCGGCCCAGCAGAGGCGCCAGGCAAGCCGACTGCCTTTTCAATTGAGCACGGGGTCGGGCCGACGGGGTTTTGGGGAGCTTCGATGAACAAGAAAATTGAGTTGAGACGGCCTCTTCAGCTGGAGAAGGATATCCACCAACTTCAGCCAACCCGAGGCGGAGGCAAAGGCCGCGCACTACACATCCGAACAGGGAGGCATGTTAGGCTGCAATTTGAATCTGGGCCGTAGCCTCCTCCCCTGGAAACCATAAAGACGTTGCCGAATACACAGGACGAAGAGAGGGAGGCCGATCTCCGGAAAAGAGAGGCCAGCCCAGAGGTTCCATCATATTTAGGCAATGGCCCTGCATGTTTTCTTGCTCGGAGCCTGCAAAGGGGGTTTGAGGGGGTCAAGGGCTCTGCTGCTGTGATGATACTTGCACAGACTGTCGCTCACAGCTCTGGTTGAGCCGCAGAAGCACCCTCGCCGAAGCATGAATCTTCAGACGCCGTCGCAGAGCCTTCCAGGGCCTCGTGGTCCGACAACCCTGAAGCTTGCAAAGTTATGCCATCGTCTATCCAAACCCCGACCTGCGCAAAGCCACAGAACCGGGCAACCGGGAACGCGTGGGCCCGTTTTCGAGAAGCTAGCCCTATAAGTAGCCTATAAGGCTGGTTGCCAGGTAATCACTGGATTCTATGAAATAATTTCTTTTCCAGGAATCTGTCCCGGAATCTGACCGGGGAGCTTTGATCAAAACAATCTGACCCGGAATCTGACTTTTTTCTGACTCGGAATCTGTCCGGAATCTGACCCGGAATCTGTCCGGGGAGGTGCTGCAGTCAATCTGACCCGGGATCTGACTCGGAATCTGTCCTGGGGACGGGAGATGGTGCTAAACTCAATCTGACCCGGAATCTGTCCGGGGAGATGGTGCTAAATTCAATCTGATCCGGGATCTCCAGGCAGATGGTGCCAAATTCAATCTGACCCGGTCCCAAACACAATCTGACCAGGGTGATTGGTGAGTTTTGAGAATGCTGTTCAGAGCCGGTTTTGGCCCAATATGAAACATGAAGTCCTGTGGTCTTTGTTCGTAAATGTTCGTAATGTTTGATGCCAGGCATTTCTCGTGGCCACTTTTCGGACCGCCGGTCAGATTCCGGGTCAGATTTCGTGAGATTTGATTTGGGGTCAGATGTCAGATTCCCAGCGAATTGCTGTGTTTTTCGTGGGAACCTGACCGGAAATCTGACCCGGGCCCGAAATCTGACCCGGAATCTGACTGGCAATCTGACCAGGCCCCGCCCGCCCTCGCCCTGCCCCGGACAGAAGCACACCTCATCAAGCAGCTCGTCGCAAAGTGTCTGGGGGAAAACCTCATGGCTTCCACCGTGCTGCGTGCCGGTGCTTCTCTCTTGAAGTCTATTGTGACACTGCGACAAATTCTACCGCGACTCTGCAGCACTGTGCTGCTCATGTGTGGCATTCAAACAAATGAGCCAACCAACATTTCACGCAAACGCATGCACTGACCGCTATTCAGCCATGCCAAACGCCACTCGCACTGCATCTATGAAAACGGACCCCCCAGCAGATGTCTGTGTGCCAGGTCACCCCGGTCAGATTGATTTACAGATTTCAATTCAGATTGCTTCTCAGATGTCAGTGCAACAGCAGACCACCCCGGTCACATGGAAAGTAAGATTCAATTTCAGATTGCAACCGCCGAACGGTCACATCAAAACTCAAATTCCGCAGAAATAATTGTGGCTAGTGCGGCCACTGTTGTTCCCTTAACAGCCTAAGCTTCACGGCCTTGGCGCACAGGCCGAAAGGATCGCTGCCGAGGAACGCAAGCGGCAGCAGGAGGAGGAGACTTACAACAAGGCGGTGCTTTGGAGATTGCTGCTTGTGTCCCAATCCTCAACAGGGCAAGCCATTTCTCGACTCCTTCTTCGAGATCCAGCACAAGGGTTGACGGCATTTGGGTCGGGTTCTGTCGCTCAATTGCCAAAATACTTTCGCGATGGTAGGGTGGACCGCAGCTGGAGTGAATGGGACATCATAAACTCGTCTCTTGAGCTTCGTTACCTGCGATGCGGAGCCATGGAATTGCTTCTCGCCGTGCTGCTTGGTTAATAACACTTCTTCGATTGAGGGGCACCAGGGCAGATGGAACGACGTCATCGACAACGACTTCGACGACCACGTTTTCCGTGGATTCCAGCGTGGCGGCCATACTTCGTGTGTACAGCTCAGACAACTGCGAAGGCGACCCGCACACGGAGATCAACCTTAGAACCGCTACCGAGAACCACTGTCAGGGCTGCCTAGACCGCTGCTCGTCGGGCGCTGGCTTTCGCTCCATGAGGCTCGAGGGAGGTCCCGGCGATGCAGCTGCGGTGGCATGGAATTGCATCGGTAGCATCCTGGACACCTACGATTCCGCTAATTTCGCGCGGGGCGGGTTGGTACAAGCAAATTCGGGATGTCACAACTCCGGAGGAGGGGGAGCTGTGGTGCTATGCTCAGGCCACCTGGCAAATGGTAACTATCTTCAAGAGCTGCCGGCTACTTGCGGGGCTTTTTTCGCAGCAAGCACCTCGGCAAGCGCATTTTCATTCGCAGCAAGCATCTCGGCAAGCGCAGTTATCTTCAGATCATACTGGCTTCTCATGCTGGTCACTGCGGCAAAGCTGCTCTGAAAGAGCGTGACGATTCGAGAAGGAGACACAACACAAACTCTCTGCTCTTGAAGACCACGAGCAGGAGATCAATGGGGCAGAGCTGAGGTCGCCAAAGTTCGCGGCAGAAAAGCAAAAGGCAGGTTCAACACTAAGGCACTACCACAGCAAGAGCTTCGCAGCACTTCGCATAATGCAGCAGCATAGTAATACTAGGAGTAGTAGTAGCAGTATCAGTATTATTATTGGTTGCAGTAGTAGTAATTAGGAGTTGTAGTAGTTGCAGCAGTCGTAGTTGTAACTAGTAGAGGGCCAGGAACATGAACAGACAGATCTTTCCTTTCCGTTGCTTCCTTTCTGCAGGGCCTGGCCCGCCTCGCAGAGGAGCAGCGCTCCACTGCAGAGAAGCAGGCCGTACACAGCGGGACGAGGGCCCTTCTCTTCCGGGGGTGCAGCGTAGTGGGTAGTGCAGATGGGTGCAGTGCTTGGGAGCGGAGTTCCGCTTGCGGAAGGGGTTCATGGCCATGGTTGGGGCTTTACACCCCGGCCCGTGCCGTTTGAGTTTCGGCATTTCTTCCGGTTCGGCGATGGGAAAACCGGGGCTCCAAGGACCAAAGACCCTGGGCTTTGCGTTTCCGCAGAGACGATGCCGTGTAGCGTTGTAGCGTCAACCCGCCATCTATCATCCGAGACTCTATTAACTGGAACATGAGTAGAGTAAGGCTTCTGCAAGAACGGAGGTGGTGCAGAAGGAGTTTCATTGCTACGTTTCGTTGAGAATCCCGCACTGCCAGCAGGCCCTGGAAAGGAAGAAGCAGAAGATGGAGGAGGAGCAGGCCTATCGCCGGGAGCGGAAGACAATTTCAAGGCATAAGAATGGTGAGCCACGCAAGCTATTGATGAGCAGGCTCGAGTTTATGTTGGCACGGATTGGTTGCGAATTGATTTATTTGAGTTCTTTAGCTTCAGGAGCACGGGCAGCCAGAGAACATGTTGCAAGTAGCACAGCGGTTTGGATGTCGCTGCAAACCCTGGATGCTCGTACCTAATCCGCTTGTTGCGGTGGTCGAGAAACCTCTTCGTGTACATCATCATTCTACGGTAATGTGAAGGCTTAGAACCACACGCCCAACATGCATTCAACCAAATGAGCAATATCCCTAAGTCCAAGGTAGATGCCCCAAAACAAACCCCGAAGCCCCTCCCTCAGGACTCAGGACCCTGTAAACCGCCCAACCCGTCGAAGCCGACGGCCGGCAACCACAGGCCAAAGCCCGTCAAAGACGCTTGAACAAGCAAAGGCTCTGTGGGCACAAGAGTTGAGAGGATGGCAGTGTTAGGCCCTGAGGGTTCAAACCTAATCGTTGAGTCTTGAGTTTGGTGGGCGTGCGGCTTCCGGTGGCATTAAAGTACGTAGAAATTTGAAAGCTTATTTGCTCCGTGGCACGGTCATGGCCTTACTTTGCACCTTTCCGCGACTGTCGGGGCTGCAGGCCATGAAGCATCTGCCAATATCACTATCTTTTGGCGGAAAGCCATGCAATGCCTCTCAGGGATGACAGCGAGGAGGAAGAGGAAGACTTTTGCGTCGCACCACCCATGGGGCCGGGACCCTGAGTCTCAGAAGACTTGAGATGTAAACCGTTGAACGGAGTTGGTCTTCATGTTGTCGGCCGTTGTGCAGGGTGCATTTGCAGGACACAGGCTACCACCGGCTACCAGCTATAGTCGTGTCAGGGGTTCCGGTCAGTCGGACGATAAGGCGCACGACACTCTGTTTGGAAAAGGAGGCGCACAGCTGCAGCAGTGTGAGGTTAGCTGACCTGTCTGCGCAGCTCGCCGGCGTGGAGGTGCTGGTTCTGCGGCTGCGTGTTCTTGAGGATTCGGACGTTTGACAGCCAGTTGCTCTGCCCTGGATAGTGAGCCTTCCGGCACTTGGACTTTTTGGGCTATGTAGACCAGGAGCCCCTCCACAATATGCCGACAAGAAACTGCAGCACACAAAAATCCTCGTATGGGTGTCTTCGACCTTGACGCCACGGCCTGGAACCCTGAAGCTTCCTTTGCAGTGAAGCGAGGCCGCACCAGCGCCCGCACCTCCTGCAGCACCCGCAGCGCCTGTGGCGCCTGCACCGCGACCGCCGAATCCTTGGTCTCCCCGGGCAAGGCTCCAAAGGCTTGGAGGCTCCTGCCCCAAGTGAAGCAAGTCAGTGAAGCGATGCTGCAGAAAGAGTAAAGTGTAAAGGAGTCGAGAATAACGTCAGTGGGGCCGAGTCAGACAGATCTGCCAGGATGGCCATAAAGCAACTAGCGCGTGAATCAGCCATGCAGTGCAAGTGAACAGAAATGGGCATCAGCCTTTTTTGGATGACCATCGTTGAGGACGCTGCTTAAGTTCAGGGGAGGCTTACCAAGTCTTGCCAGAACTTCTGTCGAAACTCCAGGCCCCCAGAGCCTTTGTGCAAAAAGCCGACATGCTTAAGTCGTAATTCAAAGTTACATGAACCAGAAGCAGGTCCAACTGCAGTGGGAGATCATGTCATTCACACACTCACTCATAGGCCTGCTCGGCCGCCTGACGACGACGACGAGGAGCTCGAAGACATTCCTGTGGCTCCCGCCGTACCGTGCCTCAGCTCACATGGAACAGCTTCAGCGCGACATGCAACAATAATTAGCTGTTTGAAATTACGTCCTGATAAATCCTATCCAGAAAGAGATAGCTTGGAAGTGCCACGGTTTTTGCCTCGTGGGATCGTCATCGGCCATGATTGCACCTATGCCCTCTAGCAGAAGTCTTGCAATCTTCCTCAGCCCAGTTCCCTGCACTTGTACCAGCAGCCTGCGCTGACACCTTCAAAGACCGAGCAAGCCCATGCCCACTTTACTGTAGGCGTGCCGCATGCTCCTCTCTAAGGCCTACAGCCATCTGAAGCGAAGCCTTTCAAACGAGCAACGGGCCGTTGGAAGCGGAAGGTTGTCCCACCTGGCTGCTCAAGTTGGCACTGGCGTGCAGGCCTCAAACTTCTAACATGTGTTCGCCAAAAGGCTCTTCACTGTCGAGTAGAAGTACATCACCCAAGGGTGCTTGACATTCATAGTCAACTCCCTTGTTTAAGCTGCCTGATCGGCACACCCAGTTTCGATTTCGGGAACCGCTAGCCGGCAGCGTGCCACCATTCTAAGGTTTCTTCTGGGCTTGTTCCCTTAACAGCCGGTCTATGAAGACGTTTAGCTACCGAGAAGCCAAGCAATCGACGTGAATGGGTTCACGCAGAGCTTCCGTGGGCTTGCCTTGTTCGGAGAGTGGGTTACCTCAGTTGCCGCAGATTGGCAAGCAAGTGCGGCTTGCAAGTGGCGACGTGGTATTCCGAGTTGCAGTGTGAGTCATGAAGCGCATCGCGGCATGTGGGTCGCAACGCACTCAGCCGATGTCTCTGAGTTAAGAATGTCAAAGAGTGTTAATTAAATAGAGTCGGAATGCTGTTTGCAACGCTTCAAGGCCGAAGCCTTAGATGACCATTTTCCGGGTCCTGGATCTCCTCTGAGCTTAGGTTGCCGGTTCGGGCTCTGGCCCTGCGACTTCGCCACCTGCAGAGGTGCCGGGCCTCAGAAGTGACTTGGCATCCGGCAACGGGTTCGAGTGCGACTTCGCGACTTGCAATGTGTGTCCCTCACGTCAGAGTTGGTGGCCATCCTCGACCGGTGCCGTACTCCTTTCGCATGGTACTTCGTGACATTTCCCTCCTGGACACTCAGACGCAAGCTCCCAACCTGCACAGCCTTGGCTAGATTCCCGGAGATCCTTCGATTTCAAAAGCTAGACACCGAAACCAAAACTACTCTGCCACAGATGCAGCCTGAGCCTGCGAGCGGGCCTGAGCTTTTCACAGAGCGAGCAGATGCTCCTGCTGGCCCTGCTCTAGTCTGCTGCGGGCGAAGGTGTGGGATTGCCGTGATCCGACTGTTTCTTTGCGTCAAGAACTTCGTAATCGCGAGCAGCCCGAGTCCCGAGAACCCAAATGGCAACCATAAGAAGGCAGCTCCGTAGATCAACCCCAGGGATTCTGGATTCTCGAACCAAGGCTACATGCAACTCCATGTTAAAGGATGCTTCTGGCTTTTCGCACAAAGGCCTGCAGTTCCACCAGTGGCGGTGCCTCCGGCGGTGGAGCCACCAGCACCTTCTGCAACGCCATGCCGCCTGCAATTCGTGGGCAAACGGATCGTGTTGGAGTTTGCAGGTAAACTCGAAACAACGGTGTGATAGTGACTGTGCCAGTAGGGTTGGCAGCGTTTGATTCTAGCTTGCCGGAAGTTTCGTAGTCGTTGAGACGGCGGTTCTTGCGGCCAGGCCCCCGCCAGAAGCAAGTCCCAGAGGAGCTGCGGAGGGCAAGGCAGACGGCCAGCTGCGGGGTCATATGATGCAGAAGAGCTTTAGCAGGTTGTCAGTTTTGACGTCGGTTCAGTACAGATGAAAACGTGTCGTTGAAGTGAAGAGGACTTGTCGTTGGCAAGCCTGTGTCTCTGGGCCGAGTGCAGGCCGCGGACCCCGTCGTCCAGGCACTGAAAGAGCTCCGGAAACGCTACCGCGAGGCACACCTTTAAGCGAAGTCAGGAACAGCCCATCTTGAGGTTTCCAATGTAGATCCAGGGTGGACGTGGGGGAGGTTTGATTATATAATGCTTTTTCAAGAAGGGAACTCAAGATGTCTCAAGAAGGGTGGCCTGAGCTCGTGTTCCGCATGCTTTTCTAGGCAGACCCCGCAGCATTGGCTGCTGGGCTCAGGCCCGTGCCGGACATTTTCGGCATTCTGGGATTCATGCTGGAAGGTAAGAGCTATGTGTACTGATGGGTAATATAAATTGGTTGGGCCAGGGTCCTGCGCTTCTAGTCGAAAGGATTCTACAAACGATTATGTGGGTTCTGACTGGCATTTTTCCTATGATGTGTTTCTTCAACATTGCTGTTTATATAAGCAGCAAGAGCGACATTCAGATTTCCAGAGCTCATGTCGGGAATGACATGGCGCGCAGATTGAACCTAGCGGGTGTATGAGGTTTTGCATGTAGGAAGGCGTCCCACAAGGATTCGTCACCGCATCCATGGTGTGAGTGCTTAAAGTTCGTCGCTGTGTCGGCCAACTGCAGGATTGTAAGTGGCTGCGTTGGCCACTTGGTGACTGACCCACAGGCGCCATGCCTAAGCATGCAAAGACATGTTAGTGCGGGTGGGGAGCACCCGGAGTCGCAGGGCTTTCGTTCTCGTTCGTGCGGGCATGGCTTGAGCGGCCCGACGAAACGACGCATCTGAGTGAACAGAGGATCCTGTGCTCGCTAGGAAGCCAAATACCATCGCATCAACTGCGCTGCTGGAAGATTCAGGCGCGGCCCAACTAGGCCTTGTCAAGAAAAGTAGCTTTTGCCGGGTGGCATTCTCGCAAAGATCCAAATCATGCAAGCCTGTGTCTTATGCCTCGGGATTCCCTCGCAACTGGTATGGATAACTTGTATTGAAGACGAACCGCAAACGATTGTGATTGTGGGTGGAGGACCAGCGTCGAAAGCTTGGAAGGAGCTGTGGCCGTTCTGGAGGTGCCGACTGGCTTTCTGGGTCAGACTTGTAAGTGCAGCGAATACGCCTCAGCTCACAGGCTGCGGGCTTCCGACGAGAGGGGAGCAGCCTCGTCGTCGAGGAGGACTTTCCAAGGCCGGTCTGGGCCTCTGCGAAGAACGACTCTGCAACTCAAAGCGCTTTTGCACCGAGCTATCCGCTGTTCGAGGAAGTTCAGCTGAGACAGCTCCTCGCAGCAATGGTATTCTTGACAGGACGCATGGACTGCAGCTCCGAGATGCAAAGGCCAGAATCGACGATCTCCCGGCCTGTTGCTGAGGGGTGAGCTCGAGGCACCTCAAAGGCTCGAAACAAAGATGAGCTGAATCTCAGTGTTGGGTACATGGCGGTGACACATCCGATGCCAGGTTGTCCTCGGAGAGTTAGAGGCAGCCCTGGGCCACTGAGCAGCCCTGGGACAAAACAGTCATCCGCCGGGCGTTCCAGAGGTAGTACTCGGGAATTCGCATGTCCTGGGCATGCCTCCGTGTGCGGCAAAAGAAGCTGAGACCGAAAGTGGATGCTCATGCTGGTCAGTGCTCCTCTCATCTTTGATCTCGCGCGCGGATCGCGCCGGTCTCTTCTGCGAGGCTCACAGGGGCCCGGCCCCAGAAAAGGACTCGCCATGGCGCTGAAACGCCTTGGCTGCGCGCTCCTGGCGCTGGGCACGGCGGAGGTCGGCTGTGGCGCATAAAACCCCCAGAAGAACACTTAGTTGTTGGGAAAAGGTGCAGAACTCACAGCTGCGTGGGTGAAGCACTGCGAGGTTCTTGAGTCTTGTTTCGTGGGTTGACAAGAAGACTCCTCCGGTATGTACATGAAGAATGTTGCAAAGACAGTTCCGCCAGAATTGGATGTATTCTCCGTTTGACGATCTTACTAAACGGAAAGCATTCGATACACTCTGTCGCTTTTTTCTGAGGCTTTCCTCGCCCCCAGTGCCCTGCGCGCCCCGCCCTCTTCGACCCCTTCCCGGTCCGCAGCCGCACCGCTGAGGGCGCAGGGAGCCAATGGGTGCCTGGCTTGAAACAGAGTTATAAGCATGGTTGTCCTGCACCGTGTGTGTGTGTGTGTGTGTGTGTCAAACACGCATGCATACATACATTCATGCATCTATACGATGTCCATGTGCAGCATGTGCATGCATGTGTATGTCAAGGTATGTGAGGGGGAAAAATTGTTAAATTTGTATGTGTACACATATATGTATAGTTGTATGTGTATGCACGTAAATATTTATATGTTATATACATATATACATATACATATAATTATCTATCTATTTGTCTGTGTATGTATTTGCGTTTGTACCTGTGTCCGTCTGTCTGCCTGTTTGGTTGTCTGCCTGCCTGTCTGTCATGCTATGCCTATGTTTATGTATGTATTGTATTGTATGTCTGTATGTATGTATGTATGTACGTACATACACGTACATGCATGCCTGCGTACATTCATTCATACGTGTGTGTGTGTGTGTGTCTGCACGCATGTATCTATCTATCCAGACAGTATGCAGCAAGCATATACACGTACTTCTGTATAAATCCACAGAACTTAGCATCAATATCTTATCGATCGTTTACACTGTTTCCTGGCACATGTTTAGAACTTCGTGTGGTCATTTACATCTTAAACAGATACATACATGAAGCCATCTCATAAATGTATACTTTTGTATGCGCAAGAGTTAGGGTCAGACAGGCTTTGTGACATGCAGGGTTTTCTGTAAGACCGTCTCCTGCTAGACACAGGCTTCTTACATTCCGACTGTCAGATGGCTTGGCTTTAACTTGTGCTGGCTTGGCAGAACATAGGAGACATAGCACAACACAGAATGCTCAAAACACAAGGGAGCATTCGCCGTACATAGTGCAAGAGACTGCTTGTCGGAATATGGTCATCGTGGGCTTCGCGAGTCGTGCCGTGTATGTCAGGACGCGGGGGGTAATTGTGAATGAGAGGCAATCTGGGGCAGAGTGGGCATAGTGGGGCTTCCACAAGAATCACAGTCTTGGCCGTAGCCTGGGCTTCCGCAAGGCACAGGTCTTGGCTTCGAGAATTTCGGTGCCAGCACACCGGTTCATCGCCCAAATATGTGCAGAGACATAGTCGGAAGAGCATGCATGCGATCAGGTGGACACCTCTATTTGGAGTTGCAGGCTCGAGAGCTTGAGAGGGTTTGCTGCCTATGAATCTGGATGTTCATACTGGGGCTTTGCTTTGTGCTATGGGACCTGTGAACTTCGGCAGGGGTGAGGGTTCTGCCTTTTTCAGGAAGGTTATTCCAGCACTTGGCTGAAGCCACATCGAGACTTGCAAGAAAAGATCTAGCAGCAACTGTCTACATGCTTTTTCTTGCCAGGCATCTTGATGATCGGGGCTGTGCGCTCCCAAAGACAGACATCCCCGACGACGATGTACTTCAAGAGGAAGTACGGAGGCCCAATCAAGAAGGACCCGCGTTCACCTTAGATATTCGGAGAGCAGGGTGTCCCGTGCTCAGGCTTGCGAGAAGGAACATGGTCCCTCATGTAGCTCGCGGCAGCAGTAGTATGGTTGACACGATCTCTAGCGACTCCAGTCGCACACACGCGTGTGGGAAAAACAATCAACCGACGCGCGCACACACACACGCGCACACACACACACACACACCACGCGCACGCACACGCACGCACGCACACGCACACGCACGCACACGCACGCACACGCACGCACACGCACGCACGCAGGCACGCACCCGCAGGCAGTCTGTAAACTGTCAGCATGGCATCGATCTCAATACGTTCGAAGCATTCAAACACAAACTTCTTCAAAAGCCTCACGTCGTTGCAGAGCTTCGTTCTCAGCCACAGAGCTCCATGGCCTTCAAGCAGGTCCGCTCGACAATCGCTTTGGGTTGCTTTTGCAAGGCTCTGCATGTGATGGCAGTTCTGAATCGGTGTTCGAGTCCTGCAGTCGCCATCAGGAGTGAGGGTTGGCTGCAATCAGGCATTTGCCGACCTGCTGCATAGTGGGCAATACAAGCTCCCACGGAACACTTAGCGTGCCTTTAACTCGTAGCATGGCCAAGGGTTCAGCTCTAAGACCACCGACGCACGCATGCGCATGCAGGGTTTTTGAATCAGCTGCAGCAGCTCGTGTGCTTGCCAAGTGAAAGACATGGCCTTTGCAAGCTACGAAAAGCACAAAACTGAATGCGAGCTTCCGCGGCCAGGGCGTCGGAAAGATCTGGGAAGCCGACAGGTGATTGTAATGCATAGCAGGCAGCAGGTGTCCAGCAATTCATGAGCAAGTGACTTGTCCCAACAGCTGCGACCCAAGATTCCTAAGAGTTGTTCCAATGCTTGCAAACTTAGCTTGGGTTTTGCAAACTTCCGTGGAAATTGAACGCTGCACAGGCCTGACCCAGTAAACCCTGAGCACCCTGAAACCAAGCCAGAGTCAAGATCAGTAGGAACACCCCGAAGCCTGGTCCTGGACAGCCGGAGAGGACCCAGATGCCGAGTTCGGTCCGCAGTACCATGGACCGAAGGCCAGGGCCAGGGCCTTTTCCAGCCCCAGGCTGTGCCGAAGGGAAGTCAAACGGGCTCTACTGAACCGTTGCTTCCGCACGAGTCGCTCCTTTCGTCTCTCATACAACGGAAGCATGTTAAGTTGTACTTGCCTTCGTGGCCTTGGCCTCCTTCATGCCAGGGAAGCGGCGGAATCCAGAGATCATCCCGGTTGGGATTTCCCAAGCTGCTTTCCTTGAAAGTGTGGCTGACGAGGTTTTGAGCCGTATGCTATTTCTAGGCCCCAAGGATAGGTCCTGAGACCCAGGTTCTGGTGTAGCCGCAGGCACAGTTGCAAGCAGTTTTGAGGAAAGTTCGACACGTAGACTCCGTCCACTAGGGATTCCCTGACTCTCGATGAAGATTGCCAGTCCCACACTGTGGCCCAGGTGGGGTCAGCAGCGTGTGATTCCAAAGCTCAGCGGGGCCTCGTATGAGCGAACTTGCCTGCAGTGGCAGTTGCATTTTGCGGCAGTTGGATGTAAGTGAGCCGTTAAAGTTCGACTGCCCCCGGCTCAGAGTGCGAACGCTGCTGCCCGCATTATGCCACCAAGGTATCGAAAGAACACCATGAGGAACCTCACCACCCAGGTCATTCGCCAGGGCCGAATCAAGACCACCCGCGCGAAAGCTGAGGCTTCAAAGCGATCCAGCACAGGTTTTCTTCCGCTTAAGTACAGCGGATTCTGGGCTATATTCTCGGGCATAATGCAGGTTCTGTCTGCAGGCCCAATCCATCACAAAGACTGTGAAAACGCAGACATTTCTCTAAAAGAAGCAGCCCTGCAAGCCTGTGTCGTAGGTTCTCAAGATAAAGAGATGCAGCCTGTCCTCGCCGACTGAACTAGGAGTGCAAGCACCTCCCATGGCCCAAGAGTTTTCGCTCGGACGGCTGCGCAGGCGCTGACCCATTTCGTGGACCGCATGATCCTCTTGGCCAAGCGAGGAGACGACCTGAGCCGACGTGAGGCCGGGCTGGGCCAAGGAAGCTCCACAAGTGCTCGCAGACACAGAGAACGTTGTCTGTAGGCCGGCGAGTGGCTCTACGACCAGACCCTGGTGGACAACCTTTTCAAGTTGGACACTCTTCGAATTTGGACTTCAGGGCTTCAGTTGAGCTTGGTCTCAAGATGGACCACCGGAGGTGTGTTGGGCTGAACTCCGGGCAGGTGTTGCTGCTTCAAGCCAGCAGCATTGAAGCCTTAGCAAAAGTTTGCATTGCAGCATGTGAGGTGCATGTTATGGGGGTCGTATCCAGATAAGTCGCACACGATCAGAGAAGCACAGTGAAACACAATATGCACATCGAGAACCCAGCAGCAGCGAGAAGGTCACTGCCACAGAGCGACGGAGTTCTGTGCTGTTGCTCAACTCCGCCTAATTTTTCTGGAGTCTTCGCCTAAATCACCTGGAGCATGTGGGTTGAAGAGCAATGCTTTTAGAGCTCATCATGCAAGCCTTGCCGTTCCTTCAGGCGCCGGAGCGATACCCCGAGCAGGGCGACGGGTTCTGCAAGGTCACACGAACCATGAATCGCTGCTCAGCTGCACAGACCGTGGCTGGGACATCCTGGGAGGTACTCCAGACTGCTACGTCTCCGACCTCACAGCTCAGCATGTTCGGATTGGTTGAAAATGGCAGCTGTACAGAGCTGTCAGAGATTCGGACTTGGCCGGCTGCGCTGAGGAAAGGGCGATTGGTCTGAGATGGCGTACATCGAGTTGATGTGAGCAGAGCTTCCAGCGGCAAGCATGGCCCATTGCAGGGTTCAAGGGTGTGTGCAGCGCAGTTCTTCCAGCTGGGTGCGTGGGTGGGCGATCAGCGACTTAAGTAACGTCTTAGGGTAGCTCATGAATTGGGGAATGCAAACCGTTAGACTTTGATGGGTCCAAGGCTTAGTGGCTAAGGGTTTTCTGGCCGTGGCCTGCTGGGCCGCACGGCTTTCCTGCCAGCTGCTAGCCTGAGAGCATGCTCCCATGAACAAAATGGTGCCGTCACAATTTCGCGCAAAGGCGCCGTGCGCAGTGCAAGGGTTTTCTGATTGTGCACTCGCATGTGCTTCCGTCGGGCTCGAGCGAGCTGGCGCGTGCAGCCCGTCTGAAGCGGCTCCCCCTTTTCTGTTGACGTGCCTCGTCCCGGGTTCCAGGGTCACTGGTGTTTGTGCGCGTGCTTGGGCAGTGCATCAGCGAAGGTGCCACAAGGAGTGTCAGCTTACTCAGGTTACCCGTTCATTTCCGAGGAACGAGCTAGCTTTACCACTCGATTGCATTCTATGGGATTTGTTTGAGGCGAGAGGTTGCAGCAGGCGAGGTTGCCCGTCCACAGGTGCTAAGAGTTAGTAGCCTTGAGTCGAAGTTGAGCCCCAGAGCAGGAAATGCACCCTGAAAGTCGAACAATCTCCTAAGTTTTTGGAACGTGCTCTGTGCTGCAGTTTTTGTTGACTTCGAAGTCCCGAGGCAACAATGGCCTTCCGCCGCCTCCTGCCGCGCCTGCCTGTGGCGCGTGCTGCGCTCAACTCGGCGGTCCGGAAGCGCGACCGCACTTGCGAAGTTGGGAGTGGCTACGAGCCCACGCTCAAGGGCTGGCATGCTGGGTACTGCGTTTAGGGGCTCTCGACGAGACCTGAAGCTTCGAGACACGAAAGCTGAAGGGTAGGATCCGGTGAGGGTGGACACTAGAACCTCAAAGCATTTCAGAACCTCGTAGGGACCGAATCAACAGCAAAGGCAGGGAGACTCATTGCTGAAACTTCGCGCGAGGGCTGCGCGGAAGGGGCAATGATTTGCATGTAAGAGGTTGAATGACATGAAAGTAAAGACACAGATCGTCAGGGTGTGCGTGTGTGTGCGATAGTCAATATAAATGACACTGACTTAGTGGAACTAAACGCTGGGAATGCCTGCATCTTACATCTCTGAACATAGTGCTAACCCATGACTGAGGTCGCTGCATGCTTCCGCGCCCAGGTACGTGCGTGCATGAGAATTAAGCTGTCTTCCGGCCTACAGCCTTCAGCATCCCACCTTGCATGATTCTGTGTTACAAACTTCCCTCACACTTTCAGCTTCTAATTTCGCACTTTGTGGCCGTTGGCCGAGTTGTGGTTTGCGCTTATGCCTCGATGCAGCATCATACTGAGGGATCGATCTCACGCCCTGCACCGAGTTTTTCGTGTGCTCCTGAAAGCTTTCTCACCTCAGATCCGGAAGCAGGAATGCTGCGAAAGTGAGCCCAGCCGAGCTCACCAAGATCCTCAGCGAGCGCATTGCCAACTTCAAGGACTGCCTTTGGCCGTGAAGTCCTGTCATATCGGCCCTTGGGACCACTTCCTGTCTACAACATGGTTGTGGTTGCTAGGCTGATTCAGTGTGTTTAAACGAAACCTAGCGTCGAGCTCCAGCAGGATTAATTGAGTTCTCAAATCCTGGCAGGATCAGGCGGACGTTCAGGAAGTCGGTCGTGTGCTGTCGGTTGGTGATGGAATTGCGCGAATCTACGGCCTCAAGGGGGTGAAGGCGCTCCGAAAGACATGACCGGTTTGCAAGAGAGACTCTTCAGTGGCACTGGCAGAAGAGCCAGCAGCTGAAGGTTGCGGAAGAAGGACTAAAGGTCGTCGATGGCAGAATGCTAGTCGACACATATAATACATAATTGGCCGTGTACTCATGAGGGTTTGTTAGAATGGTGATGTGAAACACTGTAGCGAAGCTCCACCTACGAACTGCTCGTTTTCATGCAAAGACAAGTCGTGGTTCGCCCCCTCGAGCTATTGAACGACATAGGCTCTGGCCGTTGCATCTCGCCAATCCGTGAAACGACTTACGAGAAACCTGCACGAAACTAAACGCACCACCAGCAATGACGTGGAGTCTGAAAGCTGTCCGAGTCTTCCCCAAAAGCATCGCATCGTGCCTCAAGGCCGGAGAGATGGTCGAGTTCTCCAGCGGCCTGAAAGGCATGGCCCTGAACCTGGACACTGGGCAACTTCATTTCTATTCTACTGGTAGTCATCGCTTACGGTCGTGGGATCCGTTTGTGGTGCCCGGAGGTTCGGAGGCAGTTTGGCCATGATGTAGTCCTTTTGGGAGTTGGAAGTCTGTGCATTGTGGCACATTGCTGGCGGCAAAGGAGACCGACAACGTGGGTGTGGTCGTGTTCGGAGACGACCGTGCGATCGTCGAAGGCCAACGAGCCTGAATGGACTTGAGACTCAGACGAAGACTTGTCAGTAGAGTTTCCAACTACATGCGCATGAAAGGGAAACAATCGTCAAAGGGTCAAAACAGTACGCGCAGGTGACAGCGTGAAGTGCACCGGCACCATTGTGGATGTGCCAATTGGCGAGGAGTTGCCGGGCCCTGAGATGCGATGCGCAGACCCAGCGCCCAGGGCACCTGTCTGGAAAGCCCAAGCAGTCTCCGAAGGGTCTGCCCTCGCCGTTTTCGCCCAGTGCCTTCGCTCCGACCTTGAGGCTCGGCCGCGTTGTGGATGCCCTTGGCACGCCTATCGATGGCGCCGGGCCCATCCAGACAAAGAGCCGCCGCCGAGTGGAGCTCAAGGTCCCAAGACGTTTCGTCCTAAAGTCCATGCGAACTGCGTTCTTGTGGAGCGCTTTTGTAGAGAGTTGGTGAGCTTGGAGAGAGCGCCAGGCAAGGGTGGTAGAGTTCCTGTTCGCAGGCTCCGGGCATCATTCCCCGGCAAAGCGTGCACGAGCCCATGACAGATGGGATGCAAATTCTTGTGTGTGAATAGTTCGTGCTTGGATGCATGCATGCAGTTAACGAGCAGCGCGGTCCACACAGAAGCGAGCGAAGCTAAGCCCTGAGCAGGACCACTGGCCTGAAGGCTGTCGACAGCCTGATCCCAATCGGCCGTGGCCAGCGAGAGCTGATCATCGGCGATCGCCAGACTGGCAAGACCGCCATCGCCATCGACACAATCCTCAACCAGAAGGCCCACGATTCTTCGCATCCAAAGTCCGAAGCAGATGCAACCGGCAGTAGATCAGTGGATGGGTGTACTCAACCGAGTTTAGGCCATCAACGCCTCGGCTGACAAGACGGCCCACCTGTACTGCATCTACGTCGCAGTAGGACGCTGCTGCCGCGTGAACGCACGGGAGCTTGCCATCACAAATCCACAACAGTCTTGATGGTTGCTTTGTTGCTGTGCCATGATGCCACTGAGCAGGACAGAAGCGATCCACTGTGGCGCAGCTCTTCGAGATTCTGCGAAAGAACGCTGCAGGGCCGAAATGGCTGTGATTCACTGTTAAACAGGGCTGGAAGGTTGCAGTGAAGATGCCAAGCCTGCTTCAGATTGCCAATCAGCATGCTTCGTATCAACTCTTGACTCGTGACTCGCAGGCATCTGTTGCAGATATCCGTCGATCATTTGCCTTCTTCTGGTCCTCTTGTGAAGCTAGATCATGACGATCTGGGAAAGCCAAGGACTGTTTGAAGTACACCACGGTCGTGGCCGCGACGGCTTCCGATGTCCGCAGCACAGAAGTGGGCTTGAAGGGGAGGTAGAAATCCATGAGCATGCAACTCGTGTGTCCTCATCAAGGGCCATAGAGGAGCCTGAGAAGAAACTTATCTACTACTTGTAGTGCTAAGTAGGGAACCTTCAAGTTTGTAGTGTTAGTGTACCTGCAACCTTGCCTGGTCAGACGATATACGCAGAATTTTGCAAGATTTTGCATGTTGTTTGAGCAGACAGCGCCAGCCACCTGGCCGATTTGCAAAATTCGTTTGCTCAACATCTCTTTCCCAACGTGTCACAAGTCGACTTCACCTGGCACCACAGTATGCAAAGGAGATCGCCTATCAGAAATTGCTAGGCTGATCGGGAGTCCTCAAAAACATGCAGAATCAACACTACTCCCCACGGTTTTCTTTGCTAAAGGCACTGAATAAAACTGTATCCGACATGCAGAAACGTCTGCCGAGGAGAGTGGGAGTGAACCGGTCAGTAAGAAGTCACAGGGAGATGGTAGCCGACAAACAAGATATTGAGATATGTTGGGCGTTCGATTCCGTGAAAGGATGCTCTGAACCAAAGTTCGCAAAAGGACTACGCCGAACTACGTACATTCAGCACAGCCGTGACGCGGACATCTTACCGCGGAGGGCACTGCAAATCTGGTGGTTGTGAACAAAAGAAGCGGAGAAGCATTTGATTTCACCTAACCGCTTCGGACCACCTCCGCTTCCACATCGGTTGCTTGGCAGAAGTTGAACACGGTGACAGGCTAAGCTTATGCGTCTTCGCAAACCTAAAGCTCACGATCGGGCATTGCACACTCGATCACCTGCACCAGGGCAGGGGATTGGGTGGTCTTTTGATTGAAACCGCAAGAGAAACGTGCCCAAAAATTGGGATGCTCAGGCTCCAGGGTGAAACTGATCGTGGAGACGAACGAGTGCCTGTAGAAATGTTGCATCATGGCGGCCAATGTCAATGCTTCTGCCCGATCCATGTTCCCACCGTGCACCTGCAGGGACAACCCGTGTCATCAATCTAAGATCAGCTGGCTCAAAAGGAACAACGCACTTCGTGGCAGAAACGTGTCATAGCTTCTTCGGACCACAGCAGGGCCCGAAGAAATGAGCCGTTTCCTTGCTGTTGCTGCGGTCGAGCGATATATGTTCATACTTCAGAGAACGAGGGACAGCGCGACGAACGTCGTAAACGGATTCCGGATGATTCCAAAAGTCCAAAAAAAGCAGGCCCAAAGCTCCCTTTACAATCGTTGTTTTCTACCTCCGGGGTTTGTCCTCCCTTTCCGAACCACCAGCCTCGCAACCCACCGCCTGACTAAAACCACGCGGGAACTGATCTACATCCGCAGCCACTTGGAGTCTGCAAGCTCTTGCGATGCTTGGTGGGAACAGCACGATCATCAACCCCTACCCGGGTGGACAATAATCTGAGCAGAACCTGAGTGGAGAGTTTCGACTTTGGCCAAACGCTGTCCTCCTGAAAGTGTGAACCACAGGGCGGTGGAGCTAAGCAGGTGGGCCATTCACTAAAACACTCATACTGGGGCCAGAGCAAGTGCACCACAGTGCCGCTCCAGCTTGAGTCGGGCGGGGTTCATTAGCGAGCGTTGAGAGCGTTGTCTCGGCACTGCCTCCCTCCTCTGTGGCGAACCGTCACGGCAGATATCAGGCCGCGCCTCTTCAGTTCTTGGCGCCCTACACCGGCTGCGCTATGGCGGAGTACTTCCGAGACAACGGCAAGCACGCAGCCGGGTGCTGAGAGCTGGCAGAACCAGTGCTTCCACGGGTGCTTCCACTGCTTCCACAGCAGTACCGGGAGTATGGCGAAGCTGCATGCTGCCGGGTTTTGTCTCAGCATGCGATGCAATGGACGCGGTGCTTCTTGTAGTGACCCGATGTAAGCATCAGTAACATTATTTTAACAGAAAATGCGCAGCAATGGTACGAAGATTTGCGTGAGGTCATCTTCTACGATGACCTTTCGAAGCAGGCAGTGGCGTACCGTGCCATGTCTGCAAGCTATCGACAAGCAAGCCATGCACTTGTTATGTTTCCCCCCACACACATGTTTTTGCGCGCTTCAGCTTTTTCTTGTGGCTTGAAGCTTTTGTTTTCCTCATTGCTGCTGTCTCTCTCTCTCTCTCTCTCTTGGTTTCTCTCCAATGCCTCCCTTTCTCTCTCTCCCTCTCTCCCTCCCTCCCTCCCTCTCTCTCTCTCCCTCTCTCTCTCTCTCTCTCTCTCTCTCTCTCTCTCTGCTGCCTTGCTCTTGGTCCGACTTCTCAAACAGTTCGTCTCTCGCCATTCGCTATTGACCTGTGGTCATCCGCCCCTTGTACATACTTACATGTACGAGTGTACGCATCATGTTGCATCTTCGAATCTATATAACTCGCGCTCCCACGGGCGTCATCACATGCATTGAGTTTCTCTGCCGGGCCCAACATAGTCGAAGTCCTTGCCGACTTTCCAAGAAACCTTGAAAAGGTGGGCAAGCCGGAGCTCAAGTCTTGCTACCAATCCGCGGGAGGTCAGATGTCGCTGCTTCTGCGACGTCCGCCAGGTCGTGAGGCCTACCCAGGCATCCCCGAGATGATACCAAGTAGATAGCCGACACAGTTTGGAGTTCGGATTGTGAGGCACATTTCAGGATTGGAGTCAGCTCGGGGTTTGCAGCAAGGCCCAGAGTTTCCCCGCTCGCAGATGCTAGCAAACCCCTGGTGCGTTGAGCTGACTCCCTCAACAAATCCCAAACTCATCGAAGATGGATCTTGCAGCCGAGACTGAGAGGTGATGTCTTCTACCTGCACAGTCGCTTGCTTGAGCGTGCGGCCAAGATGAACGAGGCCAGCCCTGAGAACTTGATTTGGAGGACAGCTGTTTCTGCGTTTCCGCCAGACCACGCACGGTGGCGGCTCTCTCACCGCCCTGCCGGTCATCGAGACCCAAGCCGGCGATGTCAGTGCCTACATCCCCACGAATGTAGCTCGGTTCAATTTGGTCACCGTGAGGTGTCGTACTCGTAGGCATGGCTTGGCGATGGGTGCTTCGAAGAGCGATGAGACCCGCAGGAACTCTGCTTAGTTGTTCTGCAGCGTCACTTCAGGTGATTTCTATCACTGATGGCCAGATCTTCTTGGAGACGGAGCTCTTTTACAAGGTCGGATGACTGCTTTGGGCCCTTGCAGTTTCGCGTTTTTTTTTACCGCCGCAGGTCAACTGTGTGGGCTGCCAGTTTCAGTTTGTAATCAACGTGTCAGCTCCAAGCCATATTAACACAGATATCCTCCACAATTCTGAGCTCTCTGGCTCCTGTGCCCATCACAAGAAGCCTAAGCCTCCCTAAGCCCCTCGAAAGCGTCGCCCCCGCTTTCAGGGTATCCGACCGGCCGTGAACGTTGGCCTCTCCGTGAGCCGTGACTCGGAGAAGTTTCGTTAAAAGTAGGATATGAAAAAAGATACATAAATTGGTACATATGTAGTCATATGCAACAGGCCACACATGTGTACAGTTATGATTCTTATTCTTACATTCGCTTGCACGATCATGTCACCGTGTGCTATCAATACTTGGCGCACACATATCAGAGTATTGTTTGAATTGGATCCGTGCTCACACTGCGGGATCCTCTACCGCGAGAGTTCGATGTAGCGGGCCAAGCCAACATAAGCCAGATTCGGATGTTGTTTCATTTCACAGCTTTCGGAGACGTGTGTACGTGCGCGGATTTGTGCAGAATGCCTTGAAGGGCCGTCGGTTATCGTGATACAACATGCAAGCCAAGCGACCGCACAGCTGTGACTGGGATGCGTGATCAAGGTGTGGGCAGCGCCGCACAGATCAAGGCCATGAAGCAGGCAGAGTTCGTCAGATGTGTTCTGGAAGGGCTCTGTGGCAGGTCCCATGGAGGATTTATCGTCACGCGACACAGAGGAACTGATGTGGGTATGATTTCGGCATCCCCTGCAGCCACAACTCAAAGTGCAACTCTGGCACTGGTGCCTCCACGGAGCCGCAACAGAGACTCCCTGAAGCAGGTGGCCGGCACCTTGAAGCTGGAGTTGGCACAATACCGCGAGGCCAACAATCTCAACTTACGGGCTCCAGATTTGAGGATGTCTCATACTGGGAGTTTTTGACTTTTCTCCACCAGCACGGCTAGAGTTTGCCAGCAGTCGCTGAGGCTTGAATGTAGAATTCTGCGGGTTTCAGAGCTGTCGGTGTGGTTTCTGCTTGCTACAGGTCGCCGCCTTTGCGCAGTTCGGCTCCGATCTGGATGCAGCTACGCAGCACCAACTGCTGCGAGGCAGTAGCTGCGACGGGCAAAGCATGTTAAGTGATTCTCGATGGTTCGTAATGGCTCATACTTATCTGAGGGCACCGCATGGCTAGTCTTGGGTGCGCAACCCTCAAGAAGGCCACAATAAGCAAGCTACTTTGAATCCCAGCCCTAAGCCACTCGAAGCCCCAAAGCATAAGCCCAAAACCCAGAGCAACCATCTCGTCCGTGCGCCTGTTTCAGGGCACACCTTCTTTGTGAGCGGGCTCCCGAAAAGGTTTTGCTTTTTCGGTTGCGCGGGGGCTTAGGATACATTTGTTATTCCTTCGGTTGGTTCCCAAGTCCTGGTCCGAAATTTGGAGCAAATTCCACGCCCCAAATTTGGCAAATCCTGCACTTATATCGAAACAAGAGCCAGCCCGCACCTGCCAGGTGGAATTCTGACGGAGCTCCTGAAGCAGAAGCAGCCGCTTGGTATTAACGATTTCGGCGTTGCGGGTGGCGACTCCGACACGGCATGTAGTCACCGTAGTCAGTTGGAATCAGAGTAGCCGTTGTTTCAGTTCAGTTTTGGATGTCATCGCCTTCAATGAGCTTCACACCAAGAGTGTCACAAAATGTCTTGAAGCTTTCCTGGGTAAGAGTCAGGCAGGGGAAGCAGCTTTCACTGCATCAGGAGTCTTTCCTGCCGTGGTCGCCCGAAAATGACGGCTCATGCAAACGTGGCTTTGTTGTTACTCCGAAACCCGACGTATGACCCCGATGGCTTCTTATGAGGCGCTGAAAGAAGACTGAAGAGCTGTCCCTGAAGTCATAAGTGAGCACGAGCATGGCCACGAATGCAGGTTGGGGGAAGTTTGATCTTGAGACTTGCATGACATCTTCATGACAACAATAATCACATCAATAAACTTGCACACACTCCCCCCACGAACAACCAAAGATTTTCGCCGAGGTTTGTGCCGATGACCACAGCAGAGATCATCGTGTCTCTGTGGGCGGGCACGCGCGGGTATTTGGACAAGGCCATCTGAAAGTAAGCGTTGCAGGACTGATCCCACATAAATCAACATTGCACCCTTCAAGCTGTTTTGAAGCGCAAGGTGGCAACCAAGGAGATCCTCCGATTCGAGAACTTGTGGCTGAAGCATTTCAAAGACACCAAGGGCGACGTGCTTAAGGCTGGTGTCCGGGTTGCCTAGGGTGCACTCTACGGCCCAGACATGTTCGTGGGCGTGCGCGTAGGAGCGGACGGGCTGAAGGGCGCAGCTTGCGCCGCCTGTTTTATCAAGCATGCAGGGGCGAAACAAATGGAATACAAAGTGCTTGAACGACATGCAGTTACATAGTTGAATAATGCAAGAAAAACAGCTAGAAAGATTCATAGTCGCAGCAGAAGACAGCAGCAGTATCAGAATGAGAGACGGGGAATACATGCATGTGCGCATAGTGTGAGCATGTTCACAGTCCTGCACCGAGGTCTGTTCATCCACGCAGGTATGCCGAATGTGGTTCATTTCACATGGTTTCCAAAGCACAACCTGTGTTCATCATTCTTACCATGTCAAAAGTTGGAAGTTTTGTACTGAACCTGACAGGAAATTATGGAGAAGAAGCAGATCACTCCAGAGATTGAAGGGAGCATCAAGTCTGCCATGGATGAGCCCCTGGGCAGGCTTTGCTTGCTAGTTCTGGAATTCAAAACCTGGCATTTGAGCTGCCGGTGCTGGTGGTGATAGTGCTGGTGGCGATGATGATGGTGGTGCGGGTAGGGCAGGGGCTGGGGGGTGGGGGGTGGTGGTGCCAGGGGTGAGGGGGGGATGGGGCGGGGGGGGGGTTGGGTGGTGGGGTGTGACTGGGTGCGGTGATGGTGTGTTGATGACAAGGAGAATGGTCATGATTCCTATCATATTACCGTCTTTTTTAAGCATTCCTATCATATTACCGTCTTTTTTAAGCTAAGCGTTGAGGCTCCTGAATCTAGCCGGGCTTGAAGTCCTGTATATGGCAAACCGCTCAGCCCGAAGCTCTCAAGCTTGAAGCCTGTAGAGCCCAATGCACCTGCCCGACTCCAGCTCAGGTTCCTCGGCATGAACGAGTTCGAGGGCCGGGCAGCATAAGTCACTTGCCGGGCCCCCAATGCGAAGGCGTTGCCAGTTTGTAAGGGCACGGAGAATTGTTCCACCAGGAAAGCCAACGAAAGCGTGCACGATTCGGGGCATTCAGGATTATCATACGGGAGCCACAGAAATAGGAAGCACGTTGTGTCAGCAAGATGGCACGGGGCCGAGAGGGATGGTATGCGAGTCAGACAAGACACGAGAAGCAGGATGCTCGTCAATGAGAGCCGACAGCCGGTGGGTCCATGGCGGAAGTGCACATCAGCTTTCCGTCACCTGCAGAGACGCAACGAAATTAGGGTTGCACCTGGAATTCACCGCCTCCCCTCCTGATTCCAAGCAGCTTCCAGCGATATCGTTTATTTGGATCCCATCTGGTTCGACATCGCCCCGCCGACTTATCAGGCAAAGACTGGATAATTGCACCTCGTGCAACGATCCGTCTAAGGCATTGATAGAGACTATTTGGGCTGAGACGTCGTGGAGACTGTGTTTGTGTCACGGGGTTTTGGCTGCTGTATGATCACTATTTGCATGGGGTTGCAAGTTATTTGTAGAGGCCATGCAAACACAGGATTTGCTGAGGCCTGCACCTCTCAGCCAGAATCAATGCTCAACGGCGGAGGGTATTTCTACTAACAGCACGAGGTATTGTCACGTCTTTGAGGCTGATTTCTCCCCGGGTTTGCTTGTGGTCGTGGTTGCGCTTGGCGTCGCTGTCGCTGCCGCTGTTGCAGCTTTTTGTTGTTTCAGTCGATGTTGTCGAGATGAAGGCTACAGAGCCATAGCTCGACTAGTGATAAGTAATACAACTAGAAGCACTTGCAAAGCCAGAATGCCAGAACGGATGTGTCTCCGTGTCCGTTACTTCAATGAGACTGTGTGTTGCACAACTATTCTTCTGCAAGATAGTAGTTGATAGTTGTTGGCAGCAGAACAGGTACATCAACCCTGCTGAAGTGTTGGAGATTTCAGAACAGACACTTGTTCTTCTGTTTGCCGGTTGCCTGCACCAAGGTGTTGCTGAGCCTGGAGAGCGTGCACGAAGCACGAGATCCAGCGCCGCTTCTATAGATTTTCGTCTAACCTACCTGACCAGCAGGACTCTGCCTCTGACTCGGCAGCAATGACCCTGCTGCAATCCCACGTTGAGACAAGGCCTCCACTAGCATTCCGGATAAGTCGGATAAGTACACAAAAAAGTCGAGTCGAGCACCGAGATGTAGCAAAGAGCAGCAAGCGCCACGGTGTCCGAATTACCCCCTCCAGATCCCAAGTATTTGTTTCATGGACCTGATACCGATATGACGAAAGACTAAATTTGGACATCCTTCCCGGAGCCTCAAGGCAACATTGCGTGTTTTTGGAAGCTGAAAGGCTTTGGCGTTGGATAGTTTCATAGTGCGAACGTTGGAAACGCATCGCGAGCGGAAAAGGGTGTGCTTTGTCTCAACACAGAGTTTGGCCTTCCCTGAGCTTGGCGGAAGTTGCAATTGTTGCGAGGTCCTCGATTATGTACCGTGGTTGCAAGGTTCGGGATCGCTCAATAAGGGAGACGACACACGACTCGCAAGGCCTTTTCAAGTGTCAGCCTTCGATGTTAACCCGCACCAGTGGCTTGGAGCATTGGGGTCATTGGAACTTGATCGCGCTTCACGAACTCGGTCGCACACATCAAAGTTCTTGCCGTGCTGTTGCCGCTTGTGGTTGCTCGAGCCGGGTGTTCAGGATGTCCATGCAAGCAGGCTTGACTGGCGACCTCGCTGCACATGAGCTTGCAGACAGGGTTGCACCTGGGAGATATCGCACTTGCGCAGCTTTGCTGAATAAAAGTGTGGGGGCCCTCATGTCGTTACTAGTGAAAAGAGCGATGCAGCGAAGAACCTTAAGCTTTCGAAGTAGATGACGGTTGTAGAAGCTAGGCGCGCTCGCTTAGACTTGGTACCGAGTCGATGTTAGGTAGACTTTCGCATCATGCATTCCGCAGCACCCTGAATGAGGTCTTCACTGGGGGGCGAGGTCCCGGTCTGGCAGTTTTTGGGGAAGCATTGGACACGACGGGGCTTTCGGGGCAAATCAGGGCTGTTGCCTCCGGAGCCTTCCATGTCTGTGTCTTGCAAGAGGATGGGTGTCCCGGCTTTTAGTATCAGTTTACCAGATCTTGAACTTCTGTTCTGCTACTTGGAAGGCTTTCGACGATGGGGCTAGATGAAGTGTCAAGGTGGCCTTGAAACCAATCCTGCGCATTCTCTGTCTTTAGAAATTCCTGGGGTTGAAGGTTCCTACTAGAAACTAGCACTAGCGAAGTTCGGAGACAGATGCATGCTGATTTCTCCTCACTGTAATTTGCATCCAGTGGTCCAGCCGACTCAAGGACTCTGCGATGCTTCGGGAGCAACGGCTGCCAACAGTGCTCAGTTCCTGAGGATTTGCGGCATGTTACGATGGTGGCAGCGGGAGGCCAGCACACCTGTGCCATCACTTCCGCGGGCAGGCTAGTTTGCTTTGGCGAGGATCACGTTGGACAATGCAGAGTCCCCCCGGACATGCTTCCGGTTCGTGCTGTAAGTGCAGGGACCTTTCACACCTGCGCTGTGACAGTGGACGGGCGACTCGTATGCTTCGGGAGCAACCGTTTCGGACAGTGCGATTCTCCGGAAGCACAGTTTACAGAGGAAGGTACCGTCGCAGCAGTCGCAGCTGGAGGAAAGCACACATGCGTCCTCGAGCAAGGCAGCAGCATGGCCAGAGATTTCGCATAGAGCCCTTGTCCCTACGCTAGGTCCCGAGGTCATGCCATGCCTGCCGACTCCCAGAGGTATGCTCCTCAAGTGCTTTGGCGACAACACCTATGGCCAGTGCAGCGTTCCTGATAACCTCGGACCTGTTCTGATGGTTTCTGCAGGACTTCGCCACACTTGTGCAGTAACGGATGCTTAGCCCAGACTAAGATAGAACAGACCGGGAAGCGCAGTGCGGTGGAGAAGTGAGGTCAGGCCAATTCTAAGCCAGAAGGAACGCTTGCCCAACCCGAACGGCCTAAGGTAAACCACGAGCTTGTCTGCTTCGGGGATGACTGCTTCGGACAGTGCCGGATCCCTGCAGATCTTGACCAAGTGGTGGCAGTCAAGGCAGGAGCTTACCACACTTGTGCTGTGCGGCCGGATGGTTCCTCGTCTGCTCATCGTAATGGTACTAATTCGATATGTGTTCGACTCTGTTCGACCTGTTGATTACGAAATCGACAGTTTCTCTTGGCAAGTTCCGCAAGATCCTTGCTGAAGGCAGATGGAGCAAACGAGTTGAATTGACAACCGAGGCTCTCTGACTGCCTTCGGGTTTAACTCCGCGGGGCAGTGCGACATCCCAAGCCGGTTGAGAATCGGGCACCTGGGCAGGACTGTGGTACAGCACTCGCTCGGGCCGAGCCTTGCAAGTAGAACTTAACAAGACTGCAGTGGGTTTAGATATTGGGGGTGGGGTTTGAGTTCACCAGAATGACAATATGCGTCGACATCAGCTGTTCTACACTGTCTTGCCCACGGCCTCACATCTTCCACTTCTGTCTGAACCTGTGTTTGCTTGACATGGGCCCTTAGCCTTTGACACAAGCACGGGACCATGGTTTCTTCTTTGTTTCCATTTTTGTTCCAATGGCTGCGAGTGTGCTGCCAAGAAAGAATGTACAGCTTATCAGTCCAGCCCCCTAGAGGGCAATACTGATAATCTGAACCTGGCAAGA